GTAGTTGTACCTTCTTACAAACTTACAAGTTCACCTCTGAGCAGTAAATAGTATTGATCGAAATTAACTTCAGCCCAGGCTTTGGGTATACTGCATAGCTTGCACGGCTTAACAAAATACGTTTGATTTCCCAAGTATTGTACTTGTGTTTGTTGCGAAAGAAACTTACTATTGAACGTCCTCCAAGGCTGACTGAGGCAACCAGTTTGCCCACATTTTTTTCATAATACTGTAAAGCCATTGTGGACCACGTTGATCGTATTCTGGCATGGTATGAGGTGCCATTCTTAAATTGGATCTCATCTTTCTTTGAAAATCTCGGATATGTTAGGGAACTTACGCATCTTGGGGCACACCTTCATGATTTCCTATTGAGACGTAGACAGGAGTTTTTGGAAAATATCTTAGAAGAACAGCAGTGATGTTTTCGATGTTGATGCGAGTCAAATCTTGTGTGTAGTCCCAGGCATCGTGAGCTTCAAAGTCTCCAGTGATGAGGATGTAATCAAGCTACAATGCTTGTTCATCTTCCTTATTTTTCTTAAGCACAAGGTTTTTTAAGCTGATTTACATCGGTATGAGCAGTGCTAATGTGCTTCATTGCTGCTTCAAAGGTTTGATAAGGAAGATCACACGCATAGGGCATTCCCCAAGGTCCAGAAGGAATGTAGATTGGCTCTAGAAGTACTTCAATGGCTTTAGGCCTCAAATAGAGAAACTTTGCAGCGAACTGGTTTTGGTCCTGGAGACAGAAGCATCGTCAGCATAGTTTCTGCAACACAATGCATACGTTCCCAGCGCATCGTCGAGCTGACAGTACGCTTCAGAACCGACGGCGTACTGCCTGTCGATATGAATATCCGATAAATGGAGCACCTTGTAAGTTGGTTTGTTGTCCTGGGAAGTAAAAATTTATTTGCAAACTTGGTTAGGAATGAAAATTTTTGATTACTGGAATCTTTGGCCATTTTTGAACCGGTGGTTTACCGTCTGGAATGGTAAGATTCCACATTTCATTCCGTGGTTCAAAAGCTCCACAATCGCTGACGAATGCTCCACAGAATTCGCTGGGTGTCAGTACAGTCCTTTCAAGAACAAATACCACTTCCGACTGCAATTAATCAACCGAACTCATAATCTTATCTTTGGCAATGATTAAGTTTTGACTTACTGTGAAAGCCTCTATTATGTGCTTACAAACGTGTGGCTGCTCGAGGTTTAGGTCATCACATAATACTCTAAAAATAGTGCTTTATATTTCTATACAAATACCACTTCCGACTGCAATTAATCAACCGAAATCGTAATCTTATTCAGTTTGGCTTTGCGCATTTTTTTCTTGTCATCTTCTGTGTAATGCAAAGACTTGCTGGCGCTTACTTCAATCTCAGAGCATTTTTACAGAATATCCAATATGCGATTATAGATTTTTAAATGTGGAGGAGAAGTTTTGTTTTGTTAATTTGTTTACCATATACCGGCAATAACACAAAATACTTTCTCAAAATAAGGTGGGGATGAAGGTTTGAAGCTGCTTGCTAAAAACGGTGTGACCGAGCAGCAGACTAATGAAATTTTCTTGTCTGCGAATAACTTGGAGCAATGCATAGTGTTCGCTTGAGCAGCACATGATGTCAAACGCTTCCCCTAAGAGTTTCTGGATTCCAAGAAGCATTTTCCCCAATTTTTCCTTTTTGTAAATCGTGAAGAGCGTAAGTCAATGTTCGACTAACATGCTGACAACAATAAAATCGCTTTAGAAAACTAATTTGCGTTTAATAACTAATAGCTAATTGTAAGAAGAAATCGGTCTACTTACGTAAGGAAATTTCCAATCTCTACATCGGTCTTGTTCTGTTGTATCAGAAGATTGATGGT